TCACAGGTGAATAGCTGCAGTTTAAAAAGCTGATCGATCCCAACATTGTAATGCGAATACTTTCGCTTCCATGTGTTTCACTTTAACTGAAGTTGTTCTTCCGTCTGAGCTTTGGAAACTCTACGCCGTACAGCTGAGCCCATCTCTACTCCGCCACCTACACCATCACTGTTGGCTCTGCAGTCAGGGACAATTCTTTAGCCACTAGTACATGAGGTATTATATGAACATGTTTTCCCTCTTCACCGCCGCTCTTGAATCGCATCAACTACGTGCCGTGATCAGTTCAGGAGAGACAAGCCATGACATTGGACATCGGACTCTTTCTTGCAGTTAGTGTTTTATAAGTATACCTGTAGTTTCACACTGCCTAGGCCCAGCCATCAAATTCTGTGACAAGGAAATGATTCTTCTACTGCTGGTGTTGCATATTGGGATAGGTTACCTCCAGGTACTCGGATTTCGTTTTTGTAACACTACACACCACATAGCTACTCCCTCTCACTGCAGCATGGCACTCCTAAGGCAGTTGTCCTAGAGCTGTTGAGCTGGTAAATAGGCTTTGTGCAAATGGTAGCTGATCACCACGGTCGGTGTGTTCAAATCATGGTACTAACACTAGTCGCTCTTGTAGATTCGAATCAAATGCTCGTCCACTGTAACACCTCCTGTGCAGCAGTACTCACAAAGTAAATGCTTTTATTCCAGCCCGATGAAGTTAGCCAGGTCTGAAACGTTCCACGGTTGTAGATTAGTCCTATGAATAGTTACAACTGGCTTGGCAAGCTATGATGACTTTCCCCTGCTTTCCACACATAATTGTTGTGCTGCTCCTTGTTGGAATCATGCCTACTTTTCCGGGGAGCCAAGATGACATTGCAATGAAGGTTCTGCTGAATTTAGCATCGATCCATTCGTGGACGTTCCGACAGCAAAAGCGCCAGCGAGTCAATGCAAAACTTTGAAGAAAGTGTCCAAACGAGGTAACACATTTCTGGTATGTCACAACTACACTACTTGATGCTCAATCTTTCCAACTCTCGCACAAAATCAGTGTACGCGTCGGTTCGCATCCTGTGTATGTACGGTGTTACTATAGCTCCTGGCACATAAAAGGGTAAAAACTCCCAGGTCCAGTCAATATAGTACCGAGAAAGTCTTGAAAATGCTTGAATATAGCCGATGAGAACTTAGTTTTTCGGCAATTTTGTATTCCTATCGAGGGTGATTTCGGGACCTTTGGACGCGATTGGACACGCCATACTGGGCCAAGATACTCTTGAAGACATTATCTATCAAATAACACCGAAAAATCCTTGTTAGCCAACATGTGTCAAGGCATGTATTTTAGAGGTCGATTTTTTGAATTGGCCCCAGTACTAAACTGACAACAATCAAAAATGATCTTCTATTAGGTCTCTCCACATGCTAAAAGAACAAAATCGCGGTACACCCAAAGTGGGAACGAAAATCATGAATTCATGCACTTGGCTCACAGTCTACTAAGGTTGATGTCTAATAATTCTGTCCTCGTCCTGTGAGATATATGCTTTACCGACTCTCATAAACTGGTATCTCTGATTGTCTGGTGTGAACCAATAACGGAAACCCCCTTTTATAGACAACACTAGGCTGACAGAGTACGGGGTGCCATTGACGACGGGCTTTTATTGCTACCGTATGTTGCAAAAGAAGGATCCACGAGCGGGATTCGAACCCAGCACCCCTGTCTTTCCGGGACAGTGCCCTACCGATTAGGCTACCGGGGATCACACACACTCATGGGTCCTTCTTGCTACACTGCTCCCCCGCCCCAACAGGCTGTGTCCTCACGCCGTACCTAGCTCGCGGGGGGTACGATGGGTCGTGGGTTCGAGCCATTGCCAGGCGCCAATGTTGCAAAAGAAGGATCCACGAGCGGGATTCGAACCCAGCACCCCTGTCTTTCCGGGACAGTGCCCTACCGATTAGGCTACCGGGGATCACACACACTCATGGGTCCTTCTTGCTACACGTATTTTTCCGTATCCATTGACCACGGGCTTTATCGGCTCATCAAGGCCACCGCGGGAACGTCGCTCATTGGCTACAACCATAGAAACGGTACGGTAAAAACCTGAAAGTGCAATCTCGTCTGTCCTTCATCCCAAAACAGAAGGCCGTCCTTAATCTGGAACGAGGCATTCACTCTCAACCGGACGGTCACTTCAAAATAAGTCTCGCCAGTCTGCCGGTGGTCGTATCGAGTAGACTCTACTACCAGCACAAGGCAGCAGTCGTACCACTCACTGCACTGCACTGCAGAGTGCAGTACAACTACAAGTCAAGTCCAAAAGGAGCCGCCTGCGTCCGCAGACTCACGCTGCACAGCACGTAGACGTGGACGTGTTCAGTCCACGTACGTCAGTCACACGACAGCCCGCCGAAAAAAAGTTACGGTCGGGCTGAAAAATGTACGGTCGGTCGGGTGAGTCGAACCACAGACCTTCTTCAGTGTGGCCCAAGATCAACGTTCTTCTGATTGCATAGTGGCCGATAGTGATACAACCAAGAGTCTTGATACTAGTAGATGGAGCACTTTTGGCGCGAAATGTGAAACGCATCGTGTACGTTTTCAGCAAGACCAGGAGGGGTGTAGAAAGCAGGATATACCCAGCGTTCTACTGACAAACTTCGTTTTCCTTGCATTGTGATCTGTCGTCGTGTTTGCTTTTTTTGCTTCTGTTTGCTTTCATTGCTGGTTGCTGGTTGTGCCTTCCGTTTCGGACAATGCCTCGCCAAATATTCTCTGATGACCTGGAGGCTAGACTTATTGAGTTGTGGGCCGACTATCAAAAGTCAAAAAGTGGCCAGATGGTGAAGCGTATTGTGAGGGAAAGGGAGATCGCCGAGAAGCTCAATGCTTTTGCCAAAGAGAGCAATTTGGATATCGAGATCACCCCCTTGATAGTCAACAACAAGGTGGACAATTTGAAGGCAAAGGCGAGGGACTTGTACGAGAGCGACTCGTACCGAAGATTTCGGAGATCGACTGCGACTGGTAGTCAAGCTGACAAGACGGATATTGATTTGGAAGCAGCGTACTTGATGTGGGGCAATTTCAAACGCGTGCGGATTCCGTATTTTACGACTTCTGTGCGAGGCAGGTCAAAGCTGCCATGGCAACTGCTGCTTGAAAAGCATGTTGCGACACTCGTGTGAAATCACGCGCTGTGTACTGTGCCTAGAACGCCCATTCGTGAAAAGCCATGTATACCTCGTGTGAAACGGCCCTTAATTTGCTGGCCAAAAATCCTATATATAGGATATGGAAATGTGTGCCTTTTATGCCTTTGTGTAATATTGGTCATTACGACCAATAATAATGGCATAATGGTTTTCATAGAAGTTGTAAATATGTTTGAGGCATGAATGTTTACATTTTAGATTGATAGGGCGAACATATTTCTGATGAATACCCATTTTCAGCAAGAATTGGAAATTTGAGCATAATTGTTCAGCTGCTGTCATGGATAGGACTGAAGCAGTGAATGTGCAGAAGAACATTTCAGGTGTGGCACGGGGTGTTTTCATGACGACATATCGCACATGCCGTCATGAAACTAACAGTTTTAAGGATAAAACAAGGTCCAATAAAATCTCAAATCCTAGATTTGGGATTCGAAAAATAGGGCACAGGCCTTAGTAATATTGGGCAAGGAGATGAGCCTGAGATGTTAGTATTTGAAAAAACTATCTTATTCAACTCTCGATACATGTATATACTAAGACCTAGCAAGGAAGAATTGGTCACATACTTTTTGCTATTCTCATGCCACACCCATTTTGAGTTGAAAAATATGACCAAAATCCTATATATAGGATTTAGCAAATTAAGGCTGCATTCGATTGTAGCAAGAGTACATAACCCCTGGGGGTTATGTACTCTTGATTGTAGAAACTGGATCCCGATCCCCGCCGACCAGATCACTTCGATCTGATGGATACAATCGAATGTTCACAACCGATAATCCGTTTCAAGGCCTTGGCAACCGCGTTGCTACAGCTCATCCCGTAGTATCTGTACGCGTTGTGGTAAACTCTTGACCCAGTGTACGCATATTATTGCGAGTTTTGAGTAGATACGAGTCGTACTATCGAAATGAATCCGTCGAATCCGTCGAATCCGTCTCTGGGAGGTGGGTTGACTGGATCCGAATCCGTGCTCTCGGGATCCGGATTCGTACAATCGAACATGCACAAATTTGGCGAATCCGGGTCCGGGGCTGATGGATTCGTACAATCGAACATGCCCTAAGAGATATCAAGAGTATGGGGTTACAATACTCTTGCTTATAAACACAGCAAAAGAAATCAACAGATGCAGTAAAAGATGCGATAGATGCAATGCAGTTGCAATCATAGGGGTGACAGACAACAAATGCAGTAAAAGGTGCAATAGGTGCAATGCAGTTGCAACCATAGAGGTGTCCAGCAACAAATGCTGTTGAGAGCTAAAAAGCGCAATGCTGCTACAGAGTTATACTGTAGAGTTCATTAGTTGTATAATCCAGGAAAGGTGCATGAACTGCAGGTTAGGTTAAAAGCTAAAAGTTGTATTTTTGGTTGGTGCCAGAAATTTCTGGCACGCTCTCCAGCAAACCCGCTAGCGTACACACGAGGGCGTGAATTTTCGATCAAGCCCTTCGTTCGTACCATGCTTGATTCTACGCAACAAGTCACAATGATTGAATAAAATCGTTTTTACGCTTATACCCTTGTCTTCTTCTTCTCCGAAACTTGACTGGAAGCATATTTTCTAGCCTTCCTCCTGTGTGTGGATCAGCACATCCGCAAGTCTTGTGAGCCTTTGCACCCCCGGTGAGTAATAAAATTGCGGGACGAGTTGTCCAAGGAAATTATTATTTGCTATACTTCTTGTCTTCTGGGTTTTTTTGTCGTGACACCCTGATTCTTCTTCCCGGTTTTGTCGGTTTGTTGTTTCCGAACCTCTTTGAATAGTGCAAGGCTTGACAGTCGCTGCAATCCTTCTTCCGTACGCGCACTGTTGCCATAGTCATGTCGGCGCTGCCAATGGTGAGTACAACGGCTACGAATTTGCGTTTTTTAGTCATGTAACGAACCACAGTTTCCACGAACGGTTGTTCCTTTTCCCGCGGTTCGGGTGAGACTTGGTTCGACCGTGTTTTGGTTGTGTTTTTGTTTGTTTGTTCGTTCGTTTTCTTTATTTTGGTCAGCTAAAACCAAACGGGCAGAACTGTCCAGTGGCAAGGGAGCGAATGATGAGCGTCATAAAGATCCCCCAGATAGGCGTTAGCCTTTGGGTAATCCTGAAATAAAAGATTATTATATTAACTATGCAGTCAAAACGTTTCCGGGCAAAATGAGGCAGACTACATTTTTGTAGAAGGAGGATTTGCAGAACGCTAGTACATAGAGGGGAGTACCAGAACAAAGCAACCAAGTCCAGAAATGTTGTTGTGCACCAAAACAGAGAGAGAGAGAGAGAGAGAGAGAGAGAGAGAGAGAGAGAGAGAGTTTCCGTGTCCGTGGGAACACTACAGGTCTACTCTGCATATAACGTAATCTCTGGGACCATGCAAACATTATGTTATATCGAGAGGTATGTTACGTAGAAAACCGTGTGTAAAATACAAGATGCACCTCAAAATGGATGGTATTACGAGGCGGGTTCAACCGTGCAAACATATACACACTGTACCACCATCGACATCAGATACACTGTACCATCAATGCTGCAGAATATATGCACATAGGACTAAACTGGCTAGCTACGGCTATAGCTTGATTGTACTGCGCACGTGAATTTACGTTGTATCGAGATTGTACACCTCGGGGACTGCGCCGTAGGGTGCGTTATGCCGAGGTTTACGTTATGGAGGACTAAAATTGGCCTAAACTGCCTAGCTACAGCTACCGCTTGATCATACTATGCACTTGAATTTATGTTGTATCGAGAGTGTGCACGTCGGGGACCGCCGTAGCGTGTGTTATGTCGAGGTTTATGTTATGTAGGATTATGTTGTGTATGGGAGTGATGCTGTTTCGGCTCGGGATTTTTGATTTTTTTATGTAATAAGGAGGTTTATGTACAAGTGAGAGTTTTTATATCGAGAGCAGACCTGTACCAGCTTCTACAATGTACAGTTGTGGCAAGTGAAATCCAACTCTTGGCATAAGGGACTGCACCATGCAGTCTGCCGCCCCTGCAGCCCTGCATGCGTACAGTAAATGTGTTACATACAACTTTATCTGTCTGATGACAAAACTCGTACTCATCACAGTCAAGGTTCAAAAGGTGCTGGGAAAAATGAATGGGGATTGGATTCCAATACTCCTTATGTGTACCATACCTGTGAACTGTGTGTATCTACGCTGTGACCTGTCGATCTTTTTGGCATGCATGCGGCTCAATAGTACAAATTAGGTGCAGTGCAGTACATTTTTTAAATGTATTTTTTACTATGTTCACCTAACCTCCTTGATGTCCATTTGTGGCGCTGTCTCGTATGGCAAATGTCGGATTTCACTTCCCACCACTGGTTTTTCTGTTGTATGAAATTCAATGTAAAGTCCGCGGCAAACCCCCAAGCCATTTTTGCAAGATTATTATTATTATTATAGACAACACATCATGGCATGAGAGGAAAATCAGCCAGTACGGGATATGTGGGTGTTAACCCAACATGGTGAATAAAAGAAGAACAAGATTTGCTGGCTTGTGCGCACTTGCTAGTCATAGCCCAAATTTGCTAGCAATTCTTCGAGCAAAATATCGGATGCGCAAGTTGCCAGCAAGTTTTGAGCAAAATATCGAGTTTTGGTAGGCTTTTCAGAAAACCCAAGGCTTCTCAGGGACTTTCTCAATGCAATCAGTCACCAAGGTTGAAAACAAGCACAAAAGTTGGACAAAACAGACTCATGGCCACATCTTTGTAGAAAGTTGAGCAGCAGCAGGAGCTCAATCAAAAATTCCCTCGTCATCAGCGAAAATTATCATCGAGTTTTCCTTGAAACTCATATTTCTCAAACAAAATCAAAGCAAAATACCGACGGAAAGAGGAAATGACAAGCAGAATATCGAAAATTTTGTAGCAAAATTGTGCAGCAAAATATTGATGTGGGTTGAGCAAATTTGGGCCATGACTAGCACCAAGAGTACATAACCCCCCAGAGTGTGCAACGCCGATCCAGCTTTGCATAGGGTCTTGGTTGAGCGGAATCGGATCTTCTGATGTCATGCGTACAATCCACGCCAGTGCAAGGCCGGTCTCGAGGCAGGGCACCATTGTTTTTGATCCAAGAGTACCCGCGACTCCCCGGGTTCCCCTCAGATTTGTACGGTATTATGACGCTTCTTTTTGCTTGGTATCCTCGCCAACTGTCCAAAATTGCAGGCAGAAATTCCTGGCGATTTTCCTTAGCCACCAGAGACGCATCGCTCTGGAGGCCATTGAAAGACGGTAGGATTGTTTGGCATTGACTTCCATACGACTCTGTGCGGGCTGAGTGCTCAAGTGAAGAGAGAGAGAGAACTCCTTGGTTTTGCATTGAAACGCGAAAGCACGACGATTCTCCTTCGTAGAATGGACGCGGGCACTGTTGTGCTTGTACACAAGAGAGTGGCCTGCCTCTGACTAGTCTAGCCATGTGCCAATCACCAGCTCGTCGCTTGGCTTCCTGCACCCGGTTGCATGGAGCTACCACAAGTAGGTCGTGCCTCACAGCCTTGTGAAGTTGTGGTACCAAAAAAAAATCAAAAAAACCAGCCAAGTTTCGCTTGTCGGAGGTAGAACTACAGTTGCGCTCACTGAAATCGGACCCGAAGTGCAAAGCTGGCGCCTTGGACCAGTTCAGATTACATTATTGTACTTGTACATGTGTACGTCCAGCTGCATTCGTACGGCTTCCAGGGCATCAAGGCGTGCTTGTTGAGGGCATCAGCTTTGCAATTTGGGCCGGATTTCAGGGAGCGCAACTGTACTACTAACTGCGATACTGCAACCGGTCAAGTCGTGGGGTGACGCTTCGTTAAAATAATTCTATCTTCGCTGAATTACCGTTGCATTCAGACAGTGCGACATCGTGGCATTGCATTTACTGTAAAACCGGAAAGTCTAACGAGTCACAAAGTCTAACGTTTTAACGACCATTTTTCGTTTTTTGAAAAAAAAAACGTTATCGCTAGATTTCTGTGTAAAGATGCAAATACAGATCGGTGGCCAGGTAGCCATCGTTAAACTTTCTGCACGTACCGGTAATCATGCCAAAATTCCAAAAATCGTTACACGTTTTGGTCATTACACTTTCTGGTTTTACAGTGGTATAATTATTTTATGATTTAAAGGATTTCCATCATTTTCATAATTTGAAAGCCAGATAGATTCCACGGTATTTCCACATGGAGAACAATCGGATACAAAGGCGACTCACGTATCGAATGAAAGGAAATCTCAACAACAAAATTTCTTTGCAAGATAATGGCAATCGTATTTGCAGAGCCTCTTGGCCAACTGGTAAAACGTAGGAAGTTTGCAAGTCCGTCAGTCGTTCTCGTACGCATTCAACCTTCGTGACGGTTTTGTACATTTTGCTGAATTGAAAATAGTATGGACTTGCTGTTTTGGTCGTATTACTATTTGAATCTTTTAATAATTATCTGGAAACTGAACCTGTGGACGGAGCTGTTTCGTCCTTTGCGGATGCATCACCGCAGCACGGAGAACACGAGACCGAACCTGATAGCAATGAAAAATTAATATTTCAAGGCCAGATTTACACCAGGCCCGAACAGCCCCATATATATTATATAAAGAGAGAGAGAGAGAGGTAGGCGAACAACATTTATAATTATACACACAACAACACGGTTTTTAATTTCCTAATACCAAACGCTTTTCACCCATAATGCTTTTCACCCATTTTCATCAGTGGTAACATGGGAATGAGGAAGAACGAAAAAAGCCAGAATTTATCCGAGGGGTGAAGAATCAGCAAGAATGTTCTGCTGTGGCTCAAGTTCACACTACACTACCATAAGAATGTATGGGGCAGTGGAAACATGCGGGAAACAACACCTGAAGGGAATGCAGCACAAGAACACACATCCGACGTTCACTGGTCTTCACATACGCTGGGACTTGTTTTGTGGCACTAGAAACAAAATGAATTTGCGGTGGCGGAGTGTGACCTATGAAATGCGTGTGCTAGCCTGTGTGTTAGCCTGCTGCCGGCAAGTGTAATGTGCTCGCTTCTGGTCACAGGAAAATCTATCGCTTCTATTGACTTGTTTTTCTTGGGAGAACTTCCTCCCCTTCTCTGTTATAACAATAAGTATGAGGGAGTTGAAATCGGTTATGTATGTTTGTTTTCTGCAGGACACCATTGCCTTATTCATTGCAATTTGCTTGGCATTTCCAAATCCCATTCCAGCATCCGATGGCGTTAATCACACAAATCAATGTATGTACGTGTTACAGGGCAAGCATTCGATTGAGTGCTGATCTGATTTGACCCATCCGGCAAGGTAGCCAGCAATCATTGGAGCATTTGGTACTATCAATTTCAGTTAATTGGCTCTCCATTGTCCCAAAGAAGTCCGATCCTTTTCAAACTCTGCTATGGGACATATGGCACCCCACCGGTTATCGCTATCATAATATTGGGCACCATTGCCCGTTTCGTCTGCGATACAAAATTAATTTCAACAACAAACAACAGCCGGTATCACCGACTGAAATAATCGAGCGTGAAATTCATTGTTGCACAGAAACAAGAAGATTAATAATATTGTAACATGGAAATTGTGGGCAATTTCCATGTAACAATTAATTGTTTTCCTTGGTTCACCATCAGAGTTCTTAAAGATACAAGAAGTAAATTGTTTTTTTCCCATCTACTCCCATGCAAAGTCAAAGGAGCCTCTTTTACGGGCCAATAACAAATCCAATCTGAAGAGCAATGTCAATAAAGCCGCTCATAACGCTAAAAATCAAATCAATTCAGGAAAATTCAATTCAATTCAAAGTCGTGACACATCCGGTAAAAAACAGCAAGAAATAATATCTCGGTGCAAAAGAAGAAAAAGGAAATAAAAAGCCGCTTCATTTTAAAGGACCAAATGAAGAAAAGCAAAGAAATACCCACATCAGCGCTAAATTGCACGTACTCCCATACAAAGTCTATCTCTCTGGCGTCATAAATACAGACGCATTGCGCTTGACCCGGGTTGAAATTTCGCCCCGGGTTGATTTCAATCCGGGTCGAAGAAATTGTACTAACGTACGTCTATGCGTATCTCGCGCCAGGTTTGAATAGCAGTACAGAGGCAAATTTCGGGTGAAAGTATTCACGTGATCATACAGGACTCTAGACTCTAGGCCATGACGTTACCATACTGCTCGGGGCTCTTTGTTTCCAGAAGAGCGTCAACCCTTGCGTACAATGCCGATGCCGCCTTCCATATCCGTCCTTTTACCGCCATTATCTCTGATATTGCCGACCCACCCAAGTTGGGTGGTTCGTTGCTTTGCTGCTTCGAATTGTAGTCAGACCGCATTGTCATGTTATTAACTGGTCTCGTCATTGTCCTGTAACAGTCGGCATTCTTTGTTGCCGCAGGACTTAGCTTGTGCACATTTTCGGTGCGCTCACCTTCCCCTCTTTGGTCCGACGTAACCATGAACCTTCCAAGTTGGAAGGTTGTTGGTTTGCGCACTGGAGATGTGTTAGAGCTAGGTCCCGGGTCGCTGAATGTCTCAGTAGCCCGTCAGTTTTGTGCCCTATTATCGCACTTTCTGACCGTTTATCATCATCGTGTTACAGTCGTGGATAGTTGCTGCATAACTCGTTCTCATGTGTTTCTTCTCCTTTTTACATTTTATTATTGGCTCAGTGTCCGAGTGCTCTTTATATTAAATTAAATGGAATCAAGGAAAACGGTGATTGGGAAAATGTTTACCAATTTGCACGGATTACATATGCAATCAGACCTCATTATCCGGTCCTCTTTTAACCGGATCTCAAGCCGTCTGGAACAATATCATTGGTTATCGGTTTACAGCATTATGTAATCTTGGTGACATGCATACATACATACATACATACATACATACATACATACATACATACATACATACATATACATTATGTGTGTTCGATTATCTGGTTACCTCGCCTACCCGGATATTTTGTGGAAAAAGGATGTGTGCAGTTATGCGAGGTCTGACTGTACATAATTCATGTGCCCTTGTTCAGCGATTCCCGGCTACTGCTCTCAGCTACTGGTCCAGAACGGCAGCATTGCGAACGGCACAGGGGCATACTTGGGGACGATGGCACTGCTCGCATGCGATGTAGGCTTCGTTCCAGCCGATGGGGTCACAAACTTCACATGCGATGCTTTAGATGAGGTGCACGGTAACTGGAGCGGATTGCCAGCCTGCCAACGTGAGTTTTTTTTTTTTTTTTTTTTTTTTTACTAGAGCCACGTAAACCCGTCATGTGTGAGCCATGAATAAGGGGAGTGGTGGCGTGGTCTGGGATGCTCTGCCGACCTTGGGTCTCGGCTTCATCACAACCAGGCGCGCCAATAGCAATAGCAGAGAGAGAAACTTAGACAGAAAGAGAGAGAGAGAGAGAGAGAGAGAGAGAGAGAGAGAGAGAGAGAGAGAGAGAGAGAGAGAGAGAGAGCGAGAGAGCGAGAGAGAGAGAGAGAGAGAGCGAGAGAGCGAGAGAGAGAGAGAGAGAGAAAGAGAGGGGGGGGGACAGTGAAGCAGATGAGTTCATCCTAGTTGACGGTACGCCCTGACAGAAAGGCCAGGCTTAGCGATTTGAAAGTGGAGCGCTTTCTTTCGAGGCATGCTGGGTCTGGGAGCTGGTTCCACAGGATAGCTCCAGCATGGCTAATGCGCTTAGCTGAGGATGCAGTGGGGGACACAGGAATGATGAGTAACTTGCTGCTCCCTCCTCGTGTTCGGAGAGAGGGACTACGGGTGATAAAACTTGCAAACAGAGTACTTGAAAATTTGTTCAGGCAGCGCCAAATGAACACAAGAATGTGCATATGGGTGTATATGCTGAGGGTATGGGTATTCATGCGTTCAAGTAAGGGAGCCGTGTGAGTGCGAGGAACTGCCCTGCACACAGAGCGAGCCGCCCCTTTGAACAAACTATTTAGTAGCTTATCCTGGTAGGACGATAAGAAAGGGGCATAGGCAGCAGAATTTTGATAATATAAAGGACCTGAAAAACTGAACACGTATTGAAAAAGGCAAACATGCTGCATTTCGATTTAGTAGCCCAATCTTAGCGGCAATGCGGCGTGCAACATAGCTTGTCATGGTGTTCCAGCTCATGTCTGAGTCGAAATGTAGGCCAATATACTTGTGTGTGCGCGTCTGTGTAATGGTGTGTGATGGTGTGTGTGATGGTGTGTGTGATGGTGTGTGTGATAGTGTGTGTGTGTGTGTAATGGTGTGTGTGTGTGTGTGTGTGTGTGCGTTTGTGCGTTTTCGAGCTCTTCTTCTCTCTGCGTGCGGTTTTGGGCCATCATTCTGACTCACAACAACAGTTACAATAACTTTACCTCCATTTCAAATACAGAAAAAAGTTTCTTTGGAGACGAAAACTCTACAACACGAAGAAGTAGGACACACTTTCAAAATGATGTTGAAGAAGCTGAAATTTGTCGCCTTTTAAATTATCTCATTGCGACAATTTGTTCGAGAAAAGTCCAGTCTGACAGCATCGAGTCGTCTGTTTGTACAAGTAGTTGAATACAGACACAGTGAAAGCTGTCTAAGGCGACCACTCAAGTGACGAGAAAAGTGTTCGCCTTGGCCAGGTGGTCTTCGTATCCAAATCCAGTGGGTGACGTGATCATATCCACATGTGATATATCATTTAGATCAGTGTACCACACTGCACACACCTATGCTGCTCTACCACGCCTCGTGTGCCTAGGGTCCTCATACGAGTCAAGTTAGTGTCGTGCATGCACCATGTACATGTAAATCTACACTTGCAGCGCTGATGACTGATGCGTAGATCTACCATGCATGGTGCACAGCGCAATGCATGGTACAGTTAGATATACTAGCAGGGTGCAACGCGGTCGCGGGTGGGTGGTCGTCGGTCGAGTTGAGCAAGTGGTCGCCTTATCCGAGCTGTTTTGAATGTCTACGTGTCGGTGACAAGGAAAAGTAGTCACCATGGTCGAATAGTCGCCATTGCAGGTTTTTACTGTGCATGGTTGTGTCTAGCAGGTAGGATGAGCAATTGTGACCGGATTTGGCGGTGCGTCTCATTTCTTTTGTTTCCTGTATGTATGGAATGACACGGATGGCCGAACACAGTGCTAGACCCTCAAGCTGCGGCAGGTGAGTTTGACAAGTTTCTCACACCTTTTGGCAGCACGCATAGCCGCTGAGTGCGTTCGATTTTGCACACGAATTGATGTTGAATCCATTCATGAATCGCCCCTGGCTATTCACATCATCCCACATCATCTCATGTGAGTAGGGTGAATGGATTCCGAACCCATTCCAGGGCTCATGACATGAGATTGAACGACGAGATTCCATTCATGAATCGATTCATGGCAGTAAACAAACACACCAACTGTGCTATTGCTCATTTCGATAGAGTTTCCCTATCGTAATGAGCTCCACACAAGGGGCCATCACGACCTGGTCTCTATCACAGGGGGTCTGCGTATCCAGGGTCATTTGACTAGCCATAAAATCCATTTGTGCTGGTGGCCGTGGTCTTCTGCAACAAGTGGTCGCCTTGGCAAGTCTTATTACTGTATGTGACTATGTCTTCAATCGTGAGAGGTACCGAATTTCCCCGAATATAAGTAGCACCTTTTTACCCTAAACTTCATTCCCAACAAAGGAGGTGCGACTTACAATTGAGTATGATTTACTACTGAAGTGAACATGTCAAAACAATAATGATAGTGATATGGACCTGGACCTTGAAATGGGGGTGCGACTTACACTGGAGTTTCACTTACAATCGGGGAAATACAGTATGTATAACAGACACATGTTTTCACTCCATCTTCGTGTTTTCTTGTCCAGAGAACAGCTGTAGTCCGATGTGCACGGGGGGACTGATGTGTGTGAACGGAACCACATGCCAATGTAAGACAGCGTATTTTACTATTCTACTTGTTAAACATCATGTGTGTATTAATTTTATGTGTGTGCGTGTGCGTGCGTGTGTGTGTGTGTGTGTGTGTGTGTATGTGTGTGTGAGTGTGTGTGTGTGTGCATGCGTGCATTTGCATGTGTGTATGCATAAGTATATGTGTGTATGCGTGAGCGTACACGTGTGTGTGTGTGTGTGTGTGTGTGTGTGTGTGTGTGTGTGTGTGTGTGTGTGTGTGTGTGTGTGTGTGTGTGAATGTGTGTGCCTGCGTGCATGTGTGTTTGTTTGTTTTCAAAAATATAAGTCCTTGCGAGGCATCGTACATGTACCGTAAAGTACCGCCAGAGCGCCCCACCATTTCGTCCTTTCGTGGTCGTATCGTATTGTGGAGGTGGTCTGCTGTCTGTAGGTCATACGACATGGACCTTGTACACATATTGCACGTTTTGCAGTCAATCCGTACCTTGGAGCGGACACAAGCTCCACACAAAACCCTGCCAAGCGTGACCTTAAAACACTAAGATTCTCACATCGTACAAACTTCGTTCCACTCTGCCATACGATTTTCCTTTCTCTGCCTTTAAAATCAAGGTGGGGCGGTCTCGCGAGACGGGGCGCTCTGGCGGTACTTTACGGTACCTGCAATGGGATTTTCCCTTGCCCAACACATGTATATGATGTATTCTGATACCCTGCAAGTCGGTATACGGCTGTTTCGGAGCATATGCATTACAGTGAAGCCTGTCTAAGGCGGCGGCTCAAGGGACCTTGCAAATGTGGTCCCCGTGTACAGGTGGTCTTCTTTTCAAGGGTCATTGGACTGGAAATAACCTCCATTGGTCCTGGTTGTAGTCGTCTCCTGGGACAGGTGGTCGCCTTTTCAAAAGTGGTCGCCTTGCCAGGTTTTGCTATACTTGCAGCTCTTGTTGTTATTGCTCTTTGCTCTTTCCTGTGCTGGCAATCAGAGCGGTTTGACAACCTGGGGGTGTTTCTGGTCGCCACTTCTTACCCTATCAATACTCTGAATCCATCGTTCTAGTGAAAGCAATCTCCAAAGTGAGAACTGTAGGCATCTTGGCTTGATAATGTAGTAAGCCAAGTGCGCCCACATCTGCTCATAACTACAAGCTTACTGTGTGCTTGTGCAGTGTGAGTCTGCATCATGGCTGGGCAATTGTTGGCCACCGTAGATTTGCAACAGCCATACCAAACGCATACTGTTAGACCAGTAACGAACATTTAATTCTAACGATTTAACGAATTTAGAAAATTCGTTAACATTTGAAGTCGTTATGTACAAACGATATGTACATGTACAGTCATTTGCCGGTATTGAGACGGAATTCGTTAGAATTTCACCGTGCTAGCCCTCAAAAATCCGGATACCGTTAACTTTAATTGATGTTAAATTATCTGGTCTTACAGTAGCAGTGCTTGCACTGCTATCTATGGCAGTCTACCGGTCATAATTGTCCTATCCTGTATCTACCTATCCTTTCACCCATTCCCGGCCCCTATCTGTCGCCTACTACAGATGTTATGGTACATACTCCCAACCTGACCAGCATCTTCATGCAGTATGTCGTCCAAAATTTTGAAGTAGAGGTGGAGTACTACGACCATGTGGCAGACGAGTGGTTTGAAACGCGTAACTTCACTTACACCGACTTTCCATACCGCATTCCATACCGCATTCTGATGCACGTCGGACACCAGGGCACGTATTTCCGATCGCGGTTCAATATGTACACCCCGAAGCGCTCCACAATATCACTCGCCTACACCGGCACCCCACCAACAGGTGAGACCCCGTCAGGCTGTACCCTAAAACTTGAGCTTGCCACTCGCATCAAGAGCACATAACCCCCAAGAGTGTGCAACTGCCTGCGCAACCTCTATAGGGTGCTGCGATGACAGAACTTCACTTCACTTGGCACGGTCCAAAACGTTACGCTGGCTAGCAGTGCAAAGTGACCACAAGCGAGTTGAACGCAAAGCAGGGTTGCGTACGACCCTGCATCTATCATGCACAGGGTACAAATGTGTGAGAGTTTCATCAGGTGATGTGAAGTTCTGCCGCCCCGGACCCCATGGCTGGAGTTGCACATTCTTAGTTGTTACACACACAACAGAGGCGAAAGGCTGTGTTAGCTGTAACTTAAAGTTTCACGCATCGGAGCGGGACATGGTTTCTTAATGGACTGTTCAAAAGTTGTCGTCATAGTTCTTTTAGAAGTGTAAACCGGTGCTGCACCATTATATCTGATTTTGCCAGTCAATGTCATGCCGGGCGCTATGCAGGCCAAGGTCGGGGAATATCGAGTTTTGTCCCCCGTGCAGGGCGCGAACTGGACTGATGCAATCGGATTTAATTTTAAATGACTCGGATGGAGAGCCAATGATGATTAAAGATGAGCACAACCCTGTGCACTGTAGGGATTTCTGTCGCGGTCGGTATTGGCTTTTTGATGTCCACAACATCACTTGCCTACAACGACCAACGTTGCATTGCACTAGGTGTACCTGAACTTGACATGTGTCGGAGTATAATTCAGATCATGCAGGGTACAACCTGCGCTGACTGGACGTCCTCGGTGCAGCGGAAACTGTCCTGCTATGACAGGATTCCGCTTGATCCAGGGATACACGTTCGATCCACAGCACTTTGATGCACAGAAATTGTCCCATCAAAACAGGATTCCGCTCGGTGCAAGGGCCTTGGGAAGACACATGAAACGTGATTTTTCACATTCTAGTACTATATTACAGCACACAATATCGTGGTTGGAAAAGCCACATGCTTTCCTGGACATCTATTTCTTCACTGAAAATAAACTCGCTTTTGCATTTGAATCTGTCCTATGTGCTAATTCAATGTTGTTTTGTCTCCTACAAAAGAGAATGTGGTCGACCTTACTTGTCATTTACAAAATGTTTGTGTCCAGGTGAATGCATGAGAGAAAGAGGGGCTGTTTGTGTGTGCATATGAGTGCGTGTGTGTGTGTGTGTGTGTGTGTGTGTGCCACCGAATTAGTCCTTTCGTTATCATTGCCTACGGCAAAGGACAAGTTCAAGGTTCAATTTGTGAGTGTGAGTGTGTGTGTGTGAGTGTGTGTGTGTGTGTGTGTGTGTGTGTGTGTGTGTGTGTGAGTGTGTGTGTGTGTGTGTGTGTGTGTGTGTGTGTGTGTGTGTGTGTGTGTGTGTGTGTGTGTGAGTGTGCATATGTCTGTTCGTGTGTGTTTGCATATGTCTCTTCGTGTGTGTGTGTGTGTGAGTGTGCATATGTCTGCTCGTGTGTGTATGTGTGTGTGTGTGAGTGTGCATATGTCTGCTCGTGTGTGTGTGCATATGTCTGTTCGTGGGTGTCCATGTGTGTATGGGCAAGTGTGCACTGGTACTTGCATGTGATGTACACGTGTACGTACGTAAGCTCAGTAGGCACGCCTATCTGCATGAGCGGAAACTTGTAGTCACTCGTGACGTACCATAATTCCCGAATATAAGTGGCACCTTTTTACACTAAACTTCTTGGACGCAGAAGGGAGTGGCCTTATAATCGAGTATGATATCCTAGCAATGAGACTATTTTGAAACACACAGCCCGAACGCGAAAAGGGTAGAGTGACGAGTGCGACTTTATAAATTTCATGGGAAATATCAAATATGGTACCGATAATCGTATTCCCAAAATCCGTACGCGATGATAATTCCTCACATCATGATCTCGTCTCCTTTCCCTACAGGCTACTCTGTGTTCACCTGGCCGATGTTCCCGGTTGTCGGCATCACTATAACCGCAAACGACCCTCTTCTAGCAACGGTCACCGTGTCTTTGCCGACGGTTAACCCCGCGGCAAATCTGAGAGTGCAGATCGGTCAAGCTCGCGGCGGCAACAATGCATCGTCGATCGTCACATCCGCCAGCACCGTAGCACTAAGAAATGTCACAGAAGGGGAATTCTACTTCCGTGTCGCATCGACAAGCAGTTCCTCGGCTGCTTACTCTCAGAAAGTGTTCTTCCACATCTCATGTAAGTTATCAGTAGGTGCTTGAGATCTTTAAGGGACGGTGAGGGGTGGGAGGAGGGTAGGAGGGGGGGGGGGGAGAGGGGGGGGGGGGGGTGGTAGGTGATGTTCCAAGACCAAATCCATTGTCAACATTCTGCTGAGGGATGCTTGTGTGTGTAGCATTATGGGTGCACGCAGCTTCGTGCTACCGCTCAAACAATACTGCTGTGTTTGATAGTGCTGTTGCTACACGCTCATGCTTTGCTTCTGCCTACGGTTGTGTGCACCACGGTGACCATGTCGTCCAAAAAACATGGTGCGTGCACGTGTGGTACTCTGTGCAACGTTGGGTGGTTGGGTGGTTGGGTGGTTGGGTGGTTTGTTGCTTTGCTGCTTCGAATTGTAGTCAGGTCGCATTGTCATGTTATTAACTGGTCTCGTCATTGTCCTGTAACAGTCGGCATTCTTTGTTGCCGCGGGACTTAGATTGTGCACATTTTCGCTGCGCTCACCTTCCCCTCTTCGGTCCTATGTAACCACAAACCTTCCAAGTTGGGCTGTTGGTTTGCGCACTGGAGATGTGTTAGAGCTAGGTCTCGGGTCGCTGAATGTCTCAGTAGCCTGTCAGTTTTGCGCCCTATTATCGCACTTTCTAAGTTTATTTGTTTGTTTGTTTGTTTGTGCCATTGGCATGCCTGGCGCTATCACGTACCTATCCCGTACCGTACCGTACCATCAAAGGCAGCTGGCCACAAATAGCCGGCCACAATATTCAAATAGGGCTTTCAAATGCAAGATCATAACGAGTAGCAACTTGAAAGAATGAGTATGAATGAAGAGTATCGGGGGAAATTTTATAACATCCCTTTGCTCGTTTCGCCCAGGTCATCAAGGTGGTAGACGGTGTCGTATTAGCCTTGACTGTACGTGTCCCGTACCGTACCGTACCAGCAAAGACAGCTGGGCCTGGCCACAAAAAGCTGGCCACAATATTCAAATAGGGCTTTCAAATGCAAGATCATAATGTGAAGCAACTTGGAAGAATTAGTATGTATGCGAATTGTATCGGGGAATGCATGGAGGGTGATAGTGCGAGTTCGAATCCCAGGTTATGTCTTGAGAAAAAATCGGAGAAAGGAAAAGAATTATAACATCCCTATACTTTTTTTGCCTGGGTCATCAAGGTGGTTGACGGTGTCGTATTACCGGTATACCATGAACCGGATGCAAAGAGAAAGTTTGATGTAGCCAATCAATGGAAAAAGATATTTCCATCAGTTCTAATAACATGCATGGTGAGCTACCTAGGCAAAAAAGCATAGGGTAGGGCCCTGAGTTTCAAGCTCTCTCGTTATAAAGCAGCTTTTGTAGCATCATGGTTGGAACTAAACAAACCATTTTCGGAGCATTATCCGCTGGATCCCAGCACTGGACAGGACAACAACGAATACTACAATAGAACCAAGAAGCACTCAAACGCCAGATTAGCAGATTTCATTATTTCCTTGAATTAGTGTCGATCATTACCGGCAGTGTATTAGTGCTAACTGTATCCATTACGTGAATTTGACTTGTCCCTCCTACATATACATGTATATATTTCTTGTGTTTCAACCTGGCTGGTGGTCTAGATCGAGATGAGTGTCTATATCGGACTCACAATTATTGCGACTCCAATGCTACGTGTACCAACACGGTTGGGTCCTACAACTGCATATGTAACGCTGGGTTTTCAGGTAACGGCAGGTCCTGCCAAGGTATGTTACAATTGCTATTGGTATGGTAATGCGAAAGGCCAAATAGGCCAAATAGAACTTCAACTGAAATGTATGGGTTTTGTTCTGGCAACTTCAGTTGCGCTCGGTGAAATACAGTCTTATGGGGTATTCAAACGACAGGCACCTGTACGTTGTACAGGGAGTGACATACGAGAAAAGTGACTGTGTGGATTCACACAACTGCACTCGACGACATTTGCATTTTTGAATGATTCACCGACCAGTAGCCATGGGTATTTCAAATTTTCAAAACAAGCATACAACGAGAGAGCTTGGAAGCTCAGGGCCCTACGCTATGCTTTTTTGCTTGCTCATCATGCATGTAAAGAATATCTCATGAGTACAAGGGTGAGACGTAACGTGCCAATGCTGTGTGGACCCTGGCTAGCGCCAAACGATACTGAAGTAACGTCTGTTGCATAGCTATGATATTTCATGTTTATTTTTTGAAACTCGGGTATTGAGCCAATAATAAAAGTAGAAAGGAAAAGGACATATAGAAACGAGTTAAGAGTAACTCTCCACCACTGTAACTAGATCCTATATACAGTCAGAAAGTGCGTTTCTTCTCCGTTTTACATTTTATTTCTGGCTCAGTATCCGGGTGCTCTTTATAATAAATTAAATGGAATCAAGGAAAACGGTGATTGGGAAAATGTTTACCAATTTGCACGGATTACATATGCAGTCAGACCTCATTATCCAGTCCTCTTTTAACCGGATCTCAAGCCGTCCAGAACAATATCATTGATTGCCGATTTACAGCATATGTCAACAAGAGTATACTCTTGGTGGCATGAATACATACATGTACATTATGTGTGTTCGATTACCTCGCCTATCCGGATATTTTGTGGAAAAAGGATGTGTGCAGTTATGTGAGGTCTGACTGTACATATTTCATGTGCCCTTGTGCAGCGATTCCCGGCTACTGCTCTCCGCTACTGGTCCAGAACGGCGGCATCGTGAACGGCATAGGGGCATACTTGGGGACGACGGCCCTGCTCGCATGCGACGTAGGCTTCGTTCCAGCCGATGGCATCACAAAATTCACATGCAATGCTCGAAATGAGGTGCACGGTAACTGGAGCGGATTTCCAGCCTGCCAACGTAAGTACAGTATACATACCAGGGGTGTCACAGGGCAAGGGGGAGGGGGAGGGGGGAACGAGTGAGGTCCGGGAAGTGTCCGGGAGGGGAGGGGGGGGGTCGGATCTTTTCGTCAGGCGAAATTACTGGTCAGTCGGCGACACGCATTTTTCACAAAAAATTGCGTCTCACCTGCTGGGAAAGTATGCGTGTACTCGAGTCTCATCCTGAGCACGTTTTTTTCTTCTTTTTTTCAGCTCAAGTATAGCTGTATTTTTCATTGCAAAGCCGTCCTCGATTGTTGTGTTCGTTGTTCACACGAAGTGGACATTCAATCATGAAGGCAGAGGACATAGGAGCCTGATTGGAGTTTCTCGTAGCATAGGACGGCCACACAGAGACACTTTGGGATTTTCTGAATATAAAATACCGTACGCACGATGCTGAGATCAATTTGTGCGATATCAAATTGTTTGTGATCTGCCACATCGAGCAGAACGGGATCCAAACACAAGCTTACCAACGGTTAGGCTGCCGACCTGACTGGACAAATGATCCCTGGCTTCACCAGACGCCAGAAGTCGGACACCATGTCCTTTGCCGCGATGTCCATCTCCAAAAAGAACTCCATATTCGTCGTGAAAAGGCTTGAAATACTCAATATTCAACCGAGATTCGCGGTCTCACCCTTTCTCAGATCGAATCATTTGTTGTTGTAGCAGGTGCAGGGCAGATCCCCGCCACTATTTCAACAGGCGATGGCTCCAAAGCATGCCTGGAACAAGCCATATCGAGGTTGCAAGCCACCCCTCTCAGCAAAAAAATCGAAGAAATTCGAAATTTCAATGGTGGAAGATATACTATGAAGAGAATTTCCAAAAGTATGTTTCGCGGAGCGATCGCTCAACCTACGTCATTCAAACTTTGCAGGATGGTTCAGACGTACATGCTAGGCATGGAACCACAGGCGATGATGCCATAGCTGACACACAGAGTAACACACACAGCAGATTCGTGTGGACAGATACTAAATTAGTGGACGTCGTCATCTTCTTCCCGCTGATCTCGAATGTACTATGACGTGCTATTTCGCCTGACGGGCCACCAGATCAAGTTTTCGCGCTCTACAGTTACTCTCGGCGGACCATTCTAGATGAAAAGTGGTATGGCTATGGTGGTATTGGTCGTACCATGTTTGACGCCCCTGCATACCCCGGCATGTGTGATCTCTGACTGCGTATAGAACATGCATGCGTGTGTTCTTCATTGAAGCTTGGTCCTGTGGATGGGCTGAACACTGCAGGCATTCCATGTTTTGATATTGGCGGATGTTCATGCAGGTCGATGACGATACTGGCAAAACCCTTGGCCAATACGGTCAAACCACGATTCAAGGACGCAAAGTAACATTCCACACAACTTGTGTGTCTCAAAGATGCGAAGATCAATAAAGAGGGTAGCTACACGACCAGGAATCATGCAAAACCGAACCCCTCAGTAAAACAGCACTGTACTTCGACTATGACAATTTGGATGGACGACAAGCAGCGGTAACAAGCAGAAGTTTCACACGACGATCGTTTCGCTGTATAGATAAGGACCTTGTTTCCAAGTAACCGACGAGGAGACAACAGTCGTAAAATAGCAATGAAAAATATCAATTGTGCACCATGCATAAACAATTAAAATGAAACAATTCCAGAACGTTTTCGTGTGACTATCATCAGTGGAACATCGTCACATAGTAAGAATCACTAAAAACAACCAGTTATATAGCTAGAGCAATATGAAAAGAAGAGTGAGAATGCAGCACAGCTAGTGGTTGTGCATAGCGCGTGTAGTGTGAACCTTTGCAGTGTATCTGAGAATGGTAGCAGTAGATGAATGTGGCAGCTGTGAGTGCGTGTGGACAAAACTGGTGAGTGCGTATTATTTAAAAAGTGTGAGTGCTACAACATTTTCTTTTTGCTTGCATGGAACAGGGTCACGTGTGCGAATATAGCTTCCAACACCTGCAACTGCTTAAAGAAACATGCTGAACAAATATCACTAAACCAGGAATCGTCAAACAACTTACGACAATCCGGACTGGACACCAAATGCTTGTATATGGCAGACTTGCTCTTGTTGATGTCGAACTCCTCCTCGTCAGTATCACTCTCATCCTCCACTTCCCGTTCCCGCTCACCCTTGCTTTCCTCCTGACCATCCTGTTCATCCCCATCATCATCCTCCATCTCCATCTCCTCATGCCATCGCTTCTTTCTCCTTGACGTGTTCACTGCTGTGCCCGTTCTTTCACCTGCCGCTACTGGTTCCGCCTTCTCGATTTTTATTAGTCGTGTCTGCGCTAGTCTCTGGCTTCTCCTCAGATTCGTTTTTCCTCCATTTTCGTTTCGTTCTCCTGGTGATCTTTCTGTTACCGCCGTCTGGTTTGTTAACGAACGATCATCCGGCGGTCTCCCATGCCGTGGTGTTGTCGTCAAGAGTGACACCAGATTCATGTGTTGCGCTCCTGTTGATTACCATGTATACAGCAGAGACGGCACCACCTCAGGGTGCATAATGTACGCACATTTAGCATGAACCCTTCATATCGACATCGGAGAACATAAGAGTTTGACAACCACAACCGATACGTAGATGATTAACGATCGTCCCGGCATTCAAAGTTGCTCCAGCAGTAGTATGTTGAAAAACCAACATCCTGCGTTGTCGATGTGAACACCTCTGCTCCTTGTCTACTTCGTTGGCTAGATCTTTGGCAGGTAGTCACAGCCATTTCTGAGTCGGCATCAACGCCATTCGCTTTGTTGAGGCCAAAAGAACTGGTCCTCAGCCTTGAGTAGTCCTTGTTTCGCCTCATAAACTCCAGGAAATTCACTAATGCGAAGGTGAGATACTCTGCCTACCCACCCAACACATGATTATTTCAACGAAGCGCGATCGATCACTGTTTGAAGTTCTGAATTATTCGCAAGCGCTCCCAGTTCAGCGGCTGCCTGCGCAGCCTAGCACAACTGATTCTCTGGTACAGATTTGAATAGAGATAAAGCAAGAACCACCTGAGGTCGAACTGAGTTAGCAGTACATGAAAGACTCGAATCAGCAAGAATTCGACTCCTTTCTTTTTTTGAAAAGGACTCGACTACGCAAAAACATGATTTTCTCCATTTGTTCGGCAAAAGCTATAGGCCGATTTGAGCTTATCAGGGCTCAATTATTCTCGAGCGCTGAATAATGTGCTGGGATTCATAGGGCTTTAACTTTTCAGATTGCGCGGAACATCTTCACTATTTCAGAAATATGAAACTCTGATGTTGAGCCAATAATAAATGTAGAAAGGAAAAGGACATAATTATGGATATGAAGTAGGGCTCAATTGCTTACTGCTATACAAAAGCGTCCGGAAGAAACTCCTATACCAACTGGGAGCTCTCAGAGAGCGAATATTAGAAGGTACGACCTCCAAAGTGTTGGATGGTGGTCATGAATATCACCATTTTCAATTTTTCATTCAAAAATTGATCCCGGGGCCTGCATCCATTAATTTCCCAAAGGTGCTCGCCCATTTTTTCGCCCTTTTTGGCACTTTTTGGAAAAGCCCGTTTCTTTCGCCGTTCACTGCGTTTTTTTGGTGAATATCGCCCCTTTTGAGCTTTTTTAGCTGAAAAAGTGCTAAGATCTGTTTGCTCATGCATGCGATCACAGTTCCTGAGTGCTCAATGCATTGATATGGGCCTTTGCACGCCGCTTTATTTGGGGGCAACAAGTTGGTGAAGCTTGTACCCGGTACCGCGGTGTACACAATGCTGTAAAAAGTGGGTTTTTGGAACTTTACTTCCTGTTTTGCCTTTCTGGGACCCATAAATGGAAAAGTGCGTATTCCTTTCTCAGCTTGGGTTCATGTCTGAACATTTATTATGGCTGTGCTTCACTGGAAAAAGAGCACTTTTGGCCTGTTTTCACTGAAAAAAGAGCACCTTTTCAGCATTTTGAGGGACGCGATAAGCACTATAGTCAGTTTCAAAAAGATTAGCAATCCTGGCGATCGCCCGTATGAGCGCTCGAGCGCTGCCTGGAAAAACTCACTGTGAACTCGAAGAAATATTCCACGCGAAAGTATGAAAAACGACAACTCACGGACGTCGGTACTTGTAAATATTTTCGTCTGGTTTACAACAAACGAGTTCTTTCTCGCATCGATATGGAGTCAGAGAGGACATGTCGAAAGTGTGGTAAATTTCGACGAGCGGGATGCGTCCGTTTTGTGACCAAATAGATTCTTTGAGCTGCCGCGGATGCAATTTACTCTCATGATGTGACGAAAACGGCATCCACATTTCCTCATATATACAAGCTTACTGTGTGCTTGTGCAGTGTGAGTCTGCATCATGGCTGGGCAATTGTTGGCCACCGTAGATTTGCATCAGCCATACCAAACGCATACTGTTAGACCAGTAATGAACATTTAATTCTAACGATTTAACGAATTTAGAAAATTCGTAAACATTTGAAGTCGTTTTGTACAAAACGATATGTACATGTACAGTCATTTGCCGGTATTGAGACGGAATTCGTTAGAATTAGAATTTCACCTTGCTAGCCCACAAAAATCCGGATACCGTTAACTTTAATTGATGTTAAATTATCTGGTCTTACAGAAGCAGTGAGATAGCAGTGCAAGCACTGCTATCTATGGCAGTCTACCGGTCATAATTGTCCTATCCTGTATCTACCTATCCTTTCACCCATTCCCGGCCCCTATCTGTCGCCTACTACAGATGTTATGGTACATACTCCCAACCTGACCAGCATCTTCATGGAGTATCTCGTCCATAATATAGAAGTAGAGGTGGAGTACTACGACCAGGTGGCAGACGAGTGGTTTGAAACACCTAACTTCACTCGCACCTCTATTACCCACATTCCATACCGCATTCTGATGCACGTCGGACACCAGGGCACGTATTTCCGATCGCGGGTCAATATGTACACCCCGAAGCGCTACACAATATCACTCGCCTACACCGGCACCCCACCAACAGGTGAGACTTCGTCAGGCTGTACCCTAAAACTTGAGCTTGCCACTTGCATCAAGAGTACAAAACCCCCAAGAGTGTGCAACTGCCTGCGCAACCTCTATAGGGTGCTGCGATGACAGAACTTCACTTCACTTGGCACGGTCCAAAACGTTACGCTGGCAAGCAGTGCAAAGTGACCAGAAGCGAGTTGAACGCAAAGCAGGGTTGCGTACGACCCTGCATCTATCATGCACAGGGTACAAATGTGTGCGAGTTTCATCAGGTGATGTGAAGTTCTGCCGCCCCGGACCCCATTGCTGGAGTTGCACATTCTTAGTTGTTATGTACTCTTGCTCGAATTTAGTACTTTACCATCTCGTGAACATCCTCTTTACTGTGAACACAGACTTTGCATTCACCAGATTTTCGACCAGGTTCAGCATCAGAGTGGAAAGGGAAAGGGTTTGCGAAATGGAGAACTTCTAAGCATGCAAGTAGCTGTGCTTGAGTTAACGGACAAGTCAAAAATCTTTAGCAATCCATGTGATAACATACCTTTCAGGGTGTCCGGTTTTCCGGATGCTTAAAACTCAGTCTAACTCGAGCGTGAATTTTTTTATTTTTTTTGGCGGGACATGGTTTCTTAATGGACTGTTCAAAAGTTGTCGTCATAGTTCTTTTAGAAGTGTAAACCGGTGCTGCACCATTATATCTGATTTTGCCAGTCAATGTCATGCCGGGAGCTATGCAGGCCAAGGTCGGAGAATATCGAGTTTTGTCCCCCGTGCAGGGCGCGAACTGGACTGATGCAATCGCATTTAATTTTAAATGACTCGGATGGAGAGCCAATGATGATCAAAAATGAGCACAACCCTGTGCACTGTGGGGATTTCTGTCGCGGTCGGTATTGGCTTTTTGATGTCCACAACATCACTTGCCTACAACGACCAACGTTGCATTGCACTAGGTGTGCCTGAACTTGACATGTGTTGGAGTGTAAGTCAGATCATGCAGGGTACAACCTGCGCTGACCGGACGTCCTCGGTGCAGCGGAAACTGTCCTGCTATGACAGGATTCCGCTTGATCCAGGGATGCACGTTCGATCCACAGCACTTCGATGCACAGAAATTGTCCCATCAAAACAGGATTCCGCTCGGTGCAAGGGCCTTGGGAAGACACATGAAACGTGATTTTTTCACATGCTAGGAAAAGTCACATGGAAAAGCCACATGCTTTCCTGGACATCCATTTCTTCACTGAAAATAGACTCGCTTATGCATTTGAATCTGTCCTATGTGCTAATTCAATGTTGTTTTGTCTCCTACAAAAGAGAATGTGGTCGACCTTACTTGTCATTTACAAATGTTAGTGTCCCGGTGAATGCATGAGAGAAAGAGGGGCTGTTTGTGTGTGCATGAGTGTGTGTGTGTGTGTGTTTGTGTGTGGGTGTGTGGGTGTGTGGGTGTGTGGGGGGGGGGGGGGGTGTGTGGGTGTGTGCCGCCGAATTAGTCCTTTCGCTATCATTGCCTACGGCAATGGACAAGTTCAAGGTTCAACGTGTGTGTGTGTGTGTGTGTGTGTGTGTGTTTGTGTGTGTGTATGTGTGTGTGTGTGAGTGTGCATATGTCTGCTCGTGTGTGTTTGCATATGTCTGTTCGTGTGTGTCCATGTGTGTATGGGCAAGTGCGCACTGGTACTTGCATGTTGTGTACATGTGTACGTACGTAAGCTCAGTAGGCACGCCTTTCTGCATGAGCGGAAACTTGTAGTCACTCATGACGTACCATAATTCCTGAATATAAGTGGCACCTTTTTACACTAAACTTCTTGGACGCAGAAGGGAGTGGCCTTATAATCGAGTATGATATCCTAGCAATGAGACTATTTTGAAACACACAGCCCGAACGCGAAAAGGGTAGAGTGACTTATAAACGAGTGCGACTTTATAAATTTCATGGAAAATATCCTATATGGTACCGGTAATCGTATTCCCAAAATCCGTACGCGATGATAATTCCTCACATCATGATCTCGTCACCTTTCCCTACAGGCTACTCTGTGTTCACCTGGCCGATGTTCCCGTTTGTCGGCATCACTATAACCGCAAACGACCCTCTTCTAGCAACGGTCAATGTGTCTTTGCCGACGGTTAACCCAGCGGCAAATCTGAGAGTGCAGATCGGTCGAGCTGGCGGCGGCGGCAGTGCATCGTTGATCTTCACGTCCGCCAGCACCGTAGCACTAAGAAATGTCACAGAAGGGGACTTCTACTTCCGTGTCGCATCGACAAGCAGTTCCTCGGCTGCTTACTCTCAGAAAGTGTTCTTCCATGTCTCAGGTAAGTTATCAGTTGGTGCTTGAGATCTTTAAGGGAAGGTGAGGGGTGGGAGGAGGGTAGGAGGGGGGGGGGGAGGGGGGGGGGGGGGGGTGGTAGGTGATGTTCCAAGACCAAATCCATTGTCAACATTCTGCTGAGGGTTGCTTGTGTGTGTAGCATTATGGGTGCACGCAGCTTCGTGCTACCGCTCGAACTATACTGCTGTGTTTGATAGTGCTGTTGCTACACGCTCATGCTTTGCTTCTGCCTACGGTTGTGTGCACCGCGCGTCACGGTGACCATGTCGTCCAAAAAACATGGTGCATGCACGTGTGGTACTCTGTGCAACGTGGCAATCTACATGACATTGAACAAGACACTCAACGTGGCATTCATGTGTGGCGCTCACCCTCGATGCGGGCGGCATGCAACAGGGCATTCAACCTGACATTTATTCCCGTAGCTATGCAGAAGACGTTACTTCAGTAACGTCTGGCGCTAGCCAGGGTCCACACAGCTTTAATTTGGTGTTTGTTTGTTTGTTTGTTTGTTTGTTTGTTTGTTTGTTTGTTTGTTTGTGTCACGGCTGGAGCTATCCCGTATCTGTCCCGTATCTGTGACTACAAAGGCTCTACAGGATTGTACATAACAGCTGTCCACAATATTTGCGGGTTCCTGTATCTGTCCCGTACCGTACCAATATTCGTCGTATTATGTATACGACTCCCTGATGTAGAGGGAGATTTAGAAAGAAATAGGGAGACGAGGAGGAAATTAAATTAGAATAGACGCCGATTAGGTGATAGGATGCGTCAGCATAAACATACTTTGGAAGAGAGATCCCGTCGTCTCCAAAATAAACGTGAACGAGCGATTCAGTGCCGGTCACAGGAAACGTCGGAAGAGAGATCCCGTCGACTCCGGAACGCCCGTGATCGGTAGAGTCCGGCGGCACCAGGAAACGTCAGGACAGACATCCCGTGACGTCGAGTCCAGAACGCCCGTGATCGGCGGAGTAAGCGCCGGTCCCAGTAAACGTCAGGACAGACATCCGGTCGATGCGCAGAGAAACTAAATCTGCAGCCTCTTTTGCCGTCGATCAGGATACGTATTTAGACTGTAAAGTTATGTTATGTCCAAATTTTGGACGTGAGCTGCAGGTCACTCGCGTTGATTTTTCGACGTGCGAGCCAAATAGCGCGAGCTGAACTTTCGCGTCGCAGACATCCCGTCGACGCGCAGAAAAACTAAATCTGCAGCCTCTTTTGCCGTCGGACAGGATACGTATTTAGGAGACTGTAAAGTTATGTAATGTGCTCTAGGCCTTGGCGGATAATGCTCGAAAAGGTGGCAGATTCTGCTTTTTTTGCACCGAAATTGGCAGAACCATACAAACCTTATGGCGGGCAATTCCTCGAATTCTGCTCCATTTCTTTATCCACATACCAAACATGCATGAAACTTACCAGAAAAAGTACCGAATTCTGCCAATTTTTCTGCCGGCATTATCCGCCAAGCCCTGATGTGCTCCACAGGCAACCATGCATTCGGCGTCGTCATTGGCTCAACAGGTCAATGTACATGTATCACTACAAAAAGGCCAGAAAATCCGATTACTGCATTAAAATCAACTAATGTTCGCTGGCGATTTAATTTCGCTGATTTCGCCGCTTGGTACCAACTGGCCAAAGTAAATCGCAGGCCAACGTTTGTCATATAGGCAAATGATCCATGATCGAGCAATGGATGCATGTGAGAGCAAAAATACCGATCGATTTCAAATTTGACGTGAAACTGCGCGTCACGTCGGAAATAAAGTGCATCTTTTAACCTCTCTAATAGAGAGGTTTCTATTTCTCATCGGCCAAAATTTGTTGATTTACAATATAAGGAGATAAAAAGAAAAAAAGGAGAAAAACAAAAGTAGATGATTATTAGAGAAATAACAATCCGCAATAAATTATGCAAATACTTTTGCCTAACTCATTATTCAAACCGATTGAAACGTTTTTGCAATACAGTGATGTGGCCAATCAACGAAAAAGACATTTCCATCAGTTCTTATAACATGTACGATGAGCTAGGCATAAAAGCATAAAAGCATAGCGTAGGGCCCTGAGCTTCCAAGCTCTCTCGTTTAACCCTTTACCATTTGTACATACAAATTTCGACCGCTCGCGTTTAAAGACGTCCATGCGCACAGCGCTGACCTGGTTCGCCGCAGAGAGCTGGGATATTTCCTACTGGTAGTGAAGATGTACGCGCAGAGGGTGCCGACAATTTTTTGTGTGTGCAATATAAAAAAGTAGGGGTGAAAGGGGTGATCCGGGTAACCCGGATACCCGTCTGTTTAGCTGCTGATCCGTTAGCAAACGAGTACCCGATAGTCTTGTAGGATTGTAGGGTACAGTATTAGAAGCTTGCTTGTACAGTTGTACAGTTCAGTGCACAGTTTTGAGTGTGTTTTTCCTCGTTCAATCCTGCTACATATCACGGTATCCATTGTAGCTACGACAATTTCGACTGTTAGCTTGTAGCGGAGTGATTGTGCACACTGTGCTTGTCGCGGTGTAGTGTACTTGTATGATTTCGCATATCCTCCCGGCGTGAAATCCGGAAGGCTACTGTTGCAATTGTTGCCCGAAAATCGCTCTCCTATCAGAATGCCTGCAAAAGACATGTTGCGCTTACGATCCCAAGCAAATGCAACGTTTTTGGAAAAGTATGGCGGATAAAGGGTACCCGATAACCCGCCCGTTAAGCCAGATACCCGTTTGTTACCTTAAAGGGTAACCGTTTCACCCCTAATAAAAAGGAATTCGGGTGGACACATTATAAAACTCGAATGTTGACACGCTGTGCTTAACATGCACACTCGTAATCACTCATATTCCATCCATGGATTTATCGTAATGTATTTGTTTGTATATGGAAGCACAGTCACGAATTCTAGCACATTGCACTTACCTGTTTCTGGCTTATTTTGAGAATAAATGCTTCCCACTTACCACAGTAAGCACCTTCACGTAAATACAATCCATATGATTTATTTGTCAGATCTGGATAAGAAAAACTCCCGATAAGACAAACAAAGTTGTTCAGTGACTTCAAGTTCGTCCTTACGAGGTTTGATTGTGCATGTGTTGCCCTATGGCAAGAATAATGATGGGTTGCTAACTCCACTTACCCTGCCATGCATGGCAACTTTTATGTTTCTGTCTTTAATCCCCCCCCCCCCTCCCTCCTTCACACACACACACACACACACACACACACACACACACACACACACACACACACACACACACACACACACACACACACACACACACACACACACACACACACACACACACACACGTACGCACGCATGCACACACGCACACAAAACACACACACACACCTTGTGTAACAGTTTTACACCTACTTTCACCACTCACACCTTATCACCTTGTGTCACACCTACTCTCATATATATAACCAGTATATTCAGTAATAAACGCTCTCTTCTTTCTTCGCTCAATGAAGAACTATTACATTGGTAGCAAGACGATGGATCTCCATCCCCTGTGGTCGTTCGTGGGCCTAGTTCTGGCCTCGGCTATCAGCTCTATCGTCGTCAGCATCTGGATCGTCAACCGTCTCCGGAAGGAAGCTCTACCCTCTACTCAGTCGTCACCCCAGTGTGTTCCGGAGTCTCGTGCTTCAGCTTCCCAGCCTGCACCGCGTGATCGCCCACACTTCAAGGAGCCGCCCGTGTTCACCGGAGATCCCACCACGTTTCGGGAATGGGCATTTGCCTTCGAGTTGGCCTTGGCTTCGTGGCGCTTCGCGGATCCTAAACGTGAAGCTGAGTTTGCAGCCAGTTATATCGCTGGAAATCCGCGTCTGTGGTTGATGACTTCCCTGGAAGCCGGCGCTGCATACCCAGACTGGTCGTCCTTGAAGAAGGCATTAGAGGCGGCTTACGGTGTGAAGTACGACCAAGAGAGAGCTCGGTGGAGTTTGTTCTCCCTCTCCCAGCGCGGCGCCTTAGGAGACTACATCGCAGAATTCTCGCGGCTCAGTTTTTTAATCACTGACCTGGATGGCCACTCTCGCGCAGTACTATTTGTCAGGGGCCTGGCCCCGGAGCTCAGGCGTGAAGTCATGAAGGAGCATCCTACAACCCTGCAGAAGGCGACAGAAGCAGCGCTCGCCGTATCGCAAGTGATGCCCTTCATTACGGTACAACAGCAGCAGGGGAACCTGGTACGTCGTCCACTGTCGGTTCCTGGTCCCCGTGCCAATCGCGAGGAAACGGAACGACGATGCTACATATGCCACCGACCTGGTCATCTGGCACGTCAATGCGACCCGAACCCAAACGCTGGACGCCAGTAAAAAGAGGGGTGCGATTACTGGCGTGTGAGAGAGCACCCAAGGTCACCGTGCCAGTCGCCAACAGGTTTAGTTGCCTGGAGACAGACGACGTGGAGACTGATGATGGCGACGACACCCTGGAGTCTCAAGCCCCACAGTGCGTGCGGAGCTACGTCAGCAACATTGCCCTGGATTCGCACGCGCGGGACCACGATCTCCTTGTTGTGAACGGAAAGGTGAACGGCCACCGAGCGACAATGTTAATCGACTGCGGGTCAACACACGATTTTATCTCGGAACGATTCGCAAGAAAACAAAAGATGAAAACGAAGATCGTGGAGGAGGTTCTAAAGGTGGCCTTGGCGGACGGATCAACCAGTTCGCGGCCGCTAGAGACCACCGACGCTCGCTTGGCCATAGGAGGCTATGGCGATGACCAGCGCCTGACGGTCTTTCGCCTTGATCGATATGATGTGATCCTGGGAAAACCCTGGCTGACCCGGAATAACCCAGCTATCAACTACCGCACCAACGAGGTCAAACTGGGTGCCGAATCCCTAATCGCGGGTGAACCCACAGGCGACGCTGCTGTTCCCTCGGAGCTGATGTTCATCTCTGGCAAACAAGCGCGACATGCGCTACGGCAAGGCGCAGAGGGT